AACTCACAGAGATCCGCCTGCCTCTGCCTCCCGAGTGCTGGGATTAAAGGCGTGCGCCACCACCGCCCGGCTCTGACAACATTCTTGCTGCTGCCCGCTGGAACTGTGAGCCAGAAGAAACCCCTCCTTCCTTACGTTATTATTCTCAGGTGATGAGAAAAGTAATATTCTCATACAGCTACTCCACCAGAAATGATTTCTTTTGTTTCCCCAAAGTCTCAGAATCCAAGTCCTTTGCTTCTTCTTGGAGCCTGAGCATCGTTCCTGAAGGCACCACCCTGGTGCCGGGTCTGCTATATTCTGATGGGCAGGTGTCCTACATTGTCTGCTTCCACCATCAATGTTGCCGGTACTCCTCAGACTAACAGGGGGAGAGGGGTCTCCGGGGACACTGGACATTAGTATCAAAAGGAAGCCAGTGACTGCCAGCCAGAAAAGGCAACAATCTCCATTTTTGGTTCTTGCTATATTTTTAAATTATGCTCACGGATATTGAAGCACTTACAGAACAGCACACAAATGTCATGCCGTATTACCATTATTATTTATATTTATCATACATTCAGCTAACTATACAGGCATTATGATAGATACTTACATGTGTATAGCCCTGATCTTTACAGTTTACTAGGTGTGATGGAAGATATCAGTAAATAAGTAATTAAGACTGGCCTCCAAGGAATGAGACTCCAGCCGGGATATCGAGGAGCAGAAAGGAATTTAGTTATGGAAACGCATCTATGCAAAGGAAGGGAACCTGATACAGCTGGGCATTGGGGAGGGCAACAAGAAAGGTGGATGAATTAGAGCAAAGTGTAATCACACACACATGAACGCCATAGGGAGACCATCGCTTTGGGTGTTGACATAACTAATAAAAATAGTTGTGGTAAGAGGTAGTTGCTGAAGAGCCAGCCCGGTGTGTCGAGAAGCCAGCTGGAATATACACTTACACATTTGGGAGCTGGAAGAGGTTGCTGCAGTTCCCAAAGAAGGTGCCCGAGTCCCTGTGAGCTTCCGGGAGTGGGAGTCAGGAGAAGATGGAGGGGCTGGGTGTCAGAACGGAAGGCCAGAGAGAACACAGCCACAGAGAAATAATGGGACCAGAGCGAGTCAGGATGGGACAAGAACAGGCCAGTCACTGTGGTTTTCAGTCCCCCGTCTCTACAAAACGGCAAGGGTATGAGTTAATTCATCCTTCACCACTTTGTCACGTTGTTATTGGCTTTTAAATTTTCTCTCTAAAAACTTGTAAGCCCAAATTAGCATCTGGTATCGACGTACAGCTAGATACTGTATGCTGCGTCGCTTTGTGGTCATGTGGTGCCCCATGGTCATAAGGTCCGGGAGAAGGAGAGCAGTTGGTCTTCAAGTCTGGCTGGCTTCCTTAAATCTTTATGCTACCATAAAGAATTTTTTACTCCGTAACACTTTAACTTCTCGTTCATAGGCAGCTGCTTGACTCACCATAGGAATTGTTGGGAGACTCGTGGGGAGCCAGGGAAGGAAGGAAAACTCTAAAAAAGAGAGCGCAGCCGCTAACGCTCCTGAACTTGGTTCTCAGGAGAGTCTAGTGCTGGTATGTATGAATGTGACAGATAGACAGACAGACAGACACACACACACACACATATTCATACGTACATACACATGTACATACACATATAAACACAGGCAGACAGGCTCCCACACATACTTATACTCATACATGCACATGTACACACATATATACACACTGACAGACAGACAAACACACATACGTAGACTCATACACATATGTATATGTACACATACATGCACATACACATACATATGTATACTCATACATACATATACATGTACACAGTGTGCACACACATATAGATTTAGACACATGTCCACACATATACATAGACTTATAGACACATATACACACATACATAGGCTCATAAATGCATGTACATATGCACACACACACACACACACACACACTATTTCTCTTTAGCAGATCAGAAATGAGGAATCAGCAATCAGAAAGAGACATGGTAGCATAGGACTGTAATCCCAGCTAGGCCACAGGCTGAGGCAGGAGGATCTCAACTTCAAGGACTGTCTGAGCTATGGGCTGAGTTTAAGGCCAGCTTAGACAGTGTGAGTCTCTCCAAATGAAAAATACAAAGTGAGAGAGAGAGAGCTGGGGGTGAAGGTCAGTGGTGGAGCCCGTGAGTAAACATTGGATTCTGTGTGCATCAGGGCAAAGCAAATCAAAATCCTGGAACTAATGAGTGAGGACAGGGACTTTGGAGTCCTGAGGAAGAATTCTAGGATCATCAATATAAAACGATGCTGAGCAGCTGACACAGAAATGGTATTAAAATCTATTAAAAGGCGAACTGACTGGCTAGTTATGTCCCGACATCCAGTGCTGTCTATAAACACCTTCCTGGTCAGGGTTTTGTGTTATCAAGTGACAGTCAGCTAAATAACTTCTCTTTAAGATGCAGAAAAAAATTACCTCCAGATATACATGTAATACAAATGCATGTACTTGCAGGCACATATACTACAATATGTATACAGTTTATAAGTATCTGTGTCATGCAATTAATAATTTTTGTGTCTATTTGACGTGTTTTAAGGTGTTGATGCTCCCAGGGGCAAACTGATGTTGGGACAATCTGTTTATTTATAATTTACTTTCCTGACTGTGTCTGTCCAACATGACATGAAGGCATTGTAAGACTTAACCTTCTGCTTTCTGCTGTACATGAAGCAGCATGCTTGAGGTAGAAACAGTGGTACACATACTTCACTTTTTTTTTCTTATTTTTGCTAGTTAACATTGTTAGCAATACAGGAAACCAGGAAGTGGCTTCCTCAATAAATATAGTACATTTTTGTTATTACTTTATAAAATAGCATCAATTTAATAAGATATACATGCATGAATAGTAGATGTGTATACATCTAATAGTTTATTAGATATTATGGAAGATACCAGCTAAGAAGAAATGACTGGGCTTCAAGGAACATGGATCCATTATGAAGGATTCTCTATAGGAAGGAAGTTAATCCACTTCAGAGGCAGGCACGGGCCATGGTCTTTACTGAAATATACCACATCTAACATTTTGTCCTACGTGGCCCTTCTTAAGGATGAAAACTTCTTCCTCACTGGAGTCGGGGGTTCAGCAGAGCTGAGGCCAGAGCATCTCCTGAGAGTTCATTCATATCTGGAAGATGCCACAAAGGCCACCTTCAAGGTTCTGTTTGTTTTTGTTTTTATCGCCTGGAGACGCTCACTTCTCAAAGTTTGCTGAAAATGAAAACATACTTCGCAATAAGCCCGTGGTTGCTCAGATGGGATTAACTCAAAAGGTCTGCAGATTTAGCGCCTTTAACCGAGGCGCTATGAGTGGACACTGAGTTAGGTGTGGCAGCTAAGGTGGCTGTTGACTGGCTACCAGTCTGCCAGAAGGAAGAGGCCTGAATCCCTCCAGGTTTGTTGCGATGGCGTTCAAATGAAAACTTCACTGTTGTCTCCTCCAAGGTATACTAATATCTCGCATTCCTAGAGAAAGGTGGATCTGCATTGCTGTTTTGGCTCACCTAGCTTCTCTCATGTCCAGTTGAGACTCAGAAGATGATGAATTGGATGCACATCTGTCCCCCGCCCTGTTGCCACCATTACTGCCGCTGTGTGAAAGATGAGAACCACCTTCTTAAGGATGGGTAATACTGACTTCAGGTACAAAGGCTGCCATGGCCTTTGGCATTCGCAATTCCGAATTCTGTAGGGGCCAGTGTCGTCCTAATGGCCAGCCACTGGCATCCTTGACGTCTTCTTTTTTTCTTTTACAACACACAGGCCTGAGCTTATCCAGAGCAAGAGGGACATTTCTCATCAGCCTGGAACCGGTTTCACTGCAGGCCTGAGCTCCTGCCCTCAAGTGGCAAGCTGGAGAATTTCACTCAGGTCTTAAGAGCATAGCCATTCTCCCTCAACCCCTTCTTGTGTGCTAGCAGTAAGGATGCCTAGAAAAGATTTCTAAAGTTTTCCAGAATTAAAGAAAAAAAACTTGTCCATTTCTTTACCATTTAGATAAGTCCTTAAAAAGCATCTACTATTTTCTTTTTAAAAATTATTATTATTATTATTATTATTATTATTATTTTATTGTGTGTGTGTGTTGAGACAGATTCTCTTTATATATCTCTGGCTGCTCTAGAACTCACTATGCAGACCAGGCTGGCTTTGAACTCACAAAGATCCACTTGCCTCTGCCTCCCAAGTGCTGGGATTAAAGATGTGCACCACCAAGCCCAGCCAAAAGATCCAGTTTTTTTTTTTAATTTATTTTATGTGTATAGATGTTTGACTGGTAATATGTCTTTGTACCACATCTGTGTAGAGCCCATGGAGGTCAGAAGAAGGCATTAGATCCCATAGAATTGGAGTTATAGATGGTTGTGAGCCACAGTGTGGGTTCTGGGAATTGAACCCAGGTCCTCTGGGGGAACAGCCAGGGCTCTTAGCCACTGTGTCGTCTCTCCAGCCCCTCAT